CAGTTTCATTTTCTGCTATTCTCACCAAAATTTTTGACAAAAAGTGGGCTTTTTGGCTTACCTCCTCCAAAAGATTGGCATTGTTTACACTTACCAATATCAGGACAAACTCAGTAGAAGGCAACTACATATTTTGTTGTTTTGTGAATACAGTGCTACAGTATGGAGAAGAGATCTACACCCCCATTTAGGAGATACCCAAGTTGAGTCAGTACTCAAAACAAGTCTCAAAGCTAAACCGAAGGTTTACAATCGAGATATAGTAATTAGTTGCAATTATTATATAATTTTTACCTGTATGTCTGAAACGGGCTATAATAGTGTGTCATGGTTACCTTTCTTTTTTTTTTGCTTTTTTCATCTTTGTTCATTTATGTTAGACTATTTTAGAATTTGTTAAAAAGTTTTTTTCCCACCATGAGGTGTTTTTTTTTTCTAAAATGTTTGTCTTTCATAAACATGGCTTTATTTTTTTTACTTTTATATACGAGTAAGAGTTTTAATTATATTGTCGGGCTTAGGTGGAAGAAGTCTAAAAGAAGGAAGAAGTGGTTATAACAGGTAGCAAGGTCCACTGTTGAGAGCTGGATCATATCCAATTGCAGGAGGAGTCCAGAAGGAGGGAAATTTTGCTATAACAGGTTGAATATAGGTGCCAAGTTGGTAACCAGGTTAGTTTTAACTTGCAATTTAAATAACAATGTGAGCTATAGCGCTTGTTGTTTAGAGATAGTTCTCATATGCTATCTGCCAACAAGTTTAGAGTTTATCACTTACCTTTTAAAATGCTTAGTTGTAAAAATTACATATTCTAGAGGAATTGTATAAAGCCTAATAAAGCTAAGGCATGATTGCCGAATTATAAAAAAAAAAAAATTAGTTATAGATATTTAAACTACACTATTTAATTAATAATCTGCCAGTCACCTGGTACATTATCATAGTGTAACATGATGCAGATCACTATATAAATTACATAAGCAGGAAATGTGGAGATTTTTTGACAATTCTTCAAAGAAAACTTTTTCGTACTAAGTTAATCGACAAGGTCAATTAATTGAAAGTTGTAGAGCTTGCTAAGGTGCATCTAATGGTGGTTAGATCATCCAAATCAGCCTAGTAGTTCGTGAGATATTGCTAAAAAATTATTGGCTGACTATATAAAATCTTTATGTAAACAAACTATTGTTTACATAGAAATTTTATATAGTCGGCCAATCAATTTTTAATAATATTTCACAAACCACTGGGCTGATTTAGATGATTTAACTATCATTAGATGCACCTTAGCAAGCTCTACAACTTTCAATTAATTGACCTTATTAATTAACTTAGTATGAAAAAAGTTTTCTTTAAAGAATTGTCAAAAAATCTCTACATTTCCTGCTTATGTAATTTACATAGTGATCTGTATCATGTTACACTATTATTATGCACCAGGTGACTGGCGGATCATCAATTAAGCTAATAAATCTATATTATTATATGCAATATAATAATAGATTAATTTATTTAATAGCATTTAAATTTTATTATTAATTGGAATAAATAAAATAAGTTATTTTAATTTTTTTAAAAATATTTTTATATTAAAAAATTTTGAAACCAAGTACTGAAGTATATATAAATTTTAGAATCTTGATAAGAATTTATATTAACTTTTTTAAATCTTAGATTGACTTAAATGAGGTCATGGAAGAAAAAAAATTAGTAAAGACAATCTATAATATCATTATGAAATGCTTAATTCTGCTGTTATATATAATAGAGATTATAATATAACTATTTTGAATTTGATAAAAAAACCACAATATGTGTTTATATGTATAGCTGTTTGCAATTGAATATCTAAAAAGCATTTTACACATGTATGACAACTTTTTTTAATACCAAAACACTATGATCTCAACCTCAAGTTGTTTCTTTCTGATAATAAAAGATAATTCATCAAAGATATCGAAAAATAACTTATAATATTCATATTATTTAATCTTTTGAATCTTATATTGCAGGTACTAATAGTTATTCAAATGAGATTATTTCTATATAATAATACTGCATGATACATTGTGTTAATTAAGAGAGATAGTTTATTTGAAAATATAGCATCTAGATATTTTTTAGATTTAAAAAAAAATACTAGTAGAGTAAAGATACAAGCATAAAACTTATTTTATATCCTCTAGATAATTTACTTATGAAATTGACAATGATTAGAATCTTTTTGATCCAACAGAGGCACCTGAACTTGTGGGTGTATAGAGATGAATTTGAGATAAGATTGCAATATAATTTAAATAACTTTCACTAGAGTTCCAATTTATTATCTATTTATCTATTTATTTATGGATATTTGAATACCAAATAGATAAATGGAATGGATAGATGACCAGATTATCCGATAAATTATCTGGATAAATGCAAGTGGTAAATATTAATTCAAGGAGTGCATATTAATTTAATGGTTGATCTAACAATTAATGTCATAGATATTATATAAATAGTGGTTAATATCTATTGGCTAAAATCTAATGGCTGATTTAACAGTTAATTTAATAGGTGTTATATAATATAACAGTTGATATAACAGTTGATTTAATAGTTAATTTAATAGTTGATATAATGGTTGATATAATGGCTGATATAACAATTGATATAACAGTTGATCTAACGGTTAATATAATAGTTGATTTAATATTATTAATGGTTGATATAACAGTTAATATAATAGTTAATCTAATAATTGATATAACAGTTGATCTAATGGTTAATATAATAGTTGATCTAAGTAACAGTTGATATAATGGTTGATTTAATAGTTGATTTAATAATTGATATAAAAAATATTATAATAATTGTAAGTTATAATATAATGGTCAATGATAATTTTATTCTAATCAATTTAATTTTTAAAATATTGATTTTTCTTAAAAAATTTTGCTCTATCTTTATTTTTTGCTATAAGAGTTTTATTTGTTATTTTAGTATTAGCTTCAAAATTATTCTTTAAACTATTAGATTTGGTATACAAATTTGTATACTAAAATTTTTAAAAGAAAATTAAACTTTAAAAACTAGTTTAATAAAATTTTTAAGCTAATTAATTATAGTATTTTTTTAAAACCTGTTATATAGTTATAATATAAAACATATTATATAGTCTAAAAAAACTTTAATTAACAAAACTTTTCTGACAATCACTAAAACCAAAAATTTCAAACAATTTTTATAAAAACACAGCAACTAGTAAGTAATAGAGAGTATAAAACTAGAAACTATAAAACAGTAGTTGTTATTTAAAGGTAGTTCTCATATGCTACCTGCTAACAACTTCAAAGTTTATTACTCACTGCTTGTATGACACTTGCCATTTGGAAGTAGTTCTCATATACTATTTGCTAACAAGTTTAGAGTTTATCGCTTATCAAAAAGCAAGTACAGTTGCCTTTTCTCTTTTCTAAAAAAAAAGTTACTAGTTTTGGTTCTTCTAAGGATAAAAATAATTTTGCTGGGTACTAGTAATCTTTTTATAGGTTTCTCTTGCTCTTGCTAGTCTTCTCCAAAATTTTCAATAAAAGTAGATAATTTGGTTTACTCTCTCCAAAAGAGTGGCATTGTTTACTTACCAAATTTGAATAAACTTAGGAATACAACTATATAACTTGTTTATTGGCAAATACAGTATGCGATATGATCAGCAGATATGAGGTCCTCCACATGATTGAAATTAGATCTTTATCTAAAGTTGGCTAGTAGTTAGGCAATATTGTGTTATTATAGTTAATATATACAAATGTTGTAGTTGTTATAAAATTTTTTCTTAAACCTGGCACAGGTTATAATAGTGTATTTTTCGTTTTCTTTCATTCTAGTTGTACTATTTTTAGATAGAAGTAGTCTCTTTCTTTGTTAGCTCTTAGGCTTTTCTCTTTGATTTTCTTTTTTTATATATTATTGTACCACCTTTTGGTTTTTCTCTAAAATTCTGCTTTGTTTTATTTGTTTTTTTAATTAGCTTTTTGTTTTAGTTTTCTTGTTATAATAGATGGTTTTGTATTAAATAAAGTAACACTTTCTTTTGCTCTCAGTAAAGAAAAGAGATATAAAGGGATTAGCTTCAAAATTTATCTAGCTTAGTTTATAAGTTGGTACAACAAGTCACAACTAGGCATGTTTATTGTAGCTAGGTGATGTCAGGCTTGCAATTGTAAGTTTCTCTGTTTAGTTTAGAAATGAGAATTTTACATTTGAGAAGGTTTATCATTACTAATTAGCTGAAGTCTAAAAAATGAGCTCTGACAAGACTGTTAAAGAAGTTAAAAAAAAAACTTTAATTATATAATATAAAGATTATATTTACAATTTTTAGTAAAATTTATAAAATTTAAAAGATAAAGAGAGCAAGCTCTTATTTTAAACTTTCAAAAAAATTTTAAAAATAAAAAAATAGTTATAGTTTGATTTAAATAAAGTTTTTATAAATAAAGCTTTAGTAAAACACATTTAAAAAAAGTTTATCTGATTTTATTATTAGGTTTTGAAATATTTAAGAAAAAATTTTTTAGTTTTTTAATAAATTTGATTAAAATTAGCAAAAATATAATTATAATTTATATTAGAAATATCTAGAGTTTTAGTTTAATACTATGATCTCTCAAACCCAATACTATAACAAACAGATTTTATATTATTATTGAGAAGTTATTGGTGTATTGAATAATATAGTTTATGAAGTATGCAATATTACTTGTATAATACATATAGTATATTTCTAGATAACATGTTTTGTAGTATTAATTAGAGCAATACATGTTATTTTAAGTAAATATGTAATAAAAAAATTTTAATTTTTAATAAAACAAACATGCTTTTTTCAAAATTAAAAATTTTAAATTTCAAATTTATTATTTTTTTTTAAAAGAAATGTTACAAATTTATAACTAAAAAAATTCTGAATTATGTTTTGTTTGTAATTGCTAGAATAAATCAAATCAGTATTAAGGAATAACAGAATACAGTATGCTTTAAGAATAACAAAAGAAAAAACACTTTTAATCAGTATAATTATTTTGAAGTTAGAAAACTATTGTGCTATTCCTATTATTTTTAAATTGTTGAACTTAATCATCATAATAGATTATTAATTATTAATAATAAGCAAAATCACATAATTGTTAAAAAATATTATTATTTGGAGAAAAAATTGCTTTAATAACTATAATAAAAAAAAACTAAAAAGTGCACCCCAGTTTTTTAATAAGTAGATAAATAGTAGGGTTAGAGTTAGTATTAGTGTTAGTATTAGTGTTCGGGTTAGAGTTTGAGTTAGAGTAGGCTAAAATTGTAAGAGAAGCATTTTTACTTAGTTAAACAACAGGGTTATTCTAGTAAAATTTTGAGATACAGGGGGTGCACTGAATGCACAGTGCACTTTTTAACAAAATCCACTAGAATATTATATGAAAAACAAAAAAAATAAACATACTAGAATTAAATCTATTTTATTTTTAAAGAATATTTAAAAATGCTATACTACAATTGGTAAAATTCTTTAATAAACTTTACAATCCATTTATTTTGAAAAAACAATCAGCTTATAATAGAAAAGAAAATAAAAAAAGTAGTTAATATATGTTACTCAATCGCATTGATATGCAATAGGCTTGTAAATAACTATGCTTTGAAAGTTAAATTATATTTAATAATATTTGTTATACAATTAATACAATGCATTGTGTAGATATTACTATTTGTTATAAGACTATCAAAATTAAAAATAAAAAAATAAAAATAATATAATATAATTTGAATTTATCTGATTAGTTTAAAATTCTTTAGCTATAAAAATGTAATTACAAGCTATAACTTATTATAATTATAATAAGTTATTAGTATTCTTTATTATAACTTATTACAATTACAACAAGTAATAGCATTGTGTTTACACCTCTATTTATAATATATAATTCATCTAAATTCAACATTTCTTAATATTAGATACACTGTATACAGACTACAAAAAACTTTGCATTTAGAGATATATTGAATTTAGGGTAGTAAAAATCTATAAATACATATATAGTAGAGCTATAACAAGACCATATATTTAGAGAGATATTGCATTTATGAAAATTGCATTTAGAGAGATTTGACTAGAGATAGGCAAAATAGTGTTTTCTATACCATGTATGTGCATGGTATACTGTATGCATGCATGCATATTATACAAATTAATTTTTTTCAAATTTTAAATAAAGATATTTCAACAACTACAAAACCAAATTTAATAAACTTTTTTTTATTTAAATTCTATATATTCATAGAGTTCAAATAAAAAAAGTTCATCAAGTTTAGTTTAGTAGTTGCTGAAATATCTTTGCTTAAAGTTTTAAAAACAATTTTAAATTGTTTACAAAATAGGCTTTATAAAATGTTTTCCAAGTTTAAACAAAAATATCTTAGCAACTACAAAGCCAAATTTGATAAACTTTTTTTTATTTGAATTTTATG